CAGAGAAGAGAGAGCTAACCGGGCAAGGGCAAAGGTCAAGTGGGCATGTGTTGAGTACCAGTTCGGTTGCAGAGATCTAGGCAGAGGTTGAGTTCAGCATGTGTGTGCGTGGATAGTTTGAACAAGAACAGCAGTGTTGGTGTGCAGCTGTGTTGAGTGCAGCAGCCGCCGAGAGACGAATCAACAACAAGTGCCCTCAACAGTTATCTGTCCATTCCCTTCCTCGACGACATCCGCGAAGACAATCAAGCATCCATAAGAGACAAGAACCTCGAACCTAGCGCAGAACATTGGTAATGCAGAGCCGCACTGCTCTGCATTTGATGGGGCAATTGGGTCATAACCCGACTACCAAGTATCACATTGGCGTCGTCGGCAGGACATTGGCGTCCTCGGCGCTTGTTTCGTCCCTGGGTGCGAGATCCGTTGCGTTGTTGGTTGTTGTTGGCTTTTGGTGTCAAGTACTGCTGTAGTCTTTCGCGTCTGCGTCATGGCAATGTGTACTCGCAATTTGGTTGGTTCCGGCTGCGCGACTTGTCGCGTGTCAGCCTCTCGTTCTAGTAGGCCCTTTTCCTTGGGCACGCCCATTGTCCGTCTCTCTTCTCTCTCGCCTTCTGAATCTCCTGGGATTGGCCCGTCCGGGTCGTCCCGCGGGATTTTCCAATCTTGTCGGCTGCAGTACGACTCTTCGCCACGTGCGTCGTCTCCACGCGGTCACCCCGCTGGTGCACAGCTCGGTGCTGTCGCCGCAACCCGTCCTGCTGCCGTGCCCCGTGCCCGCGAGGAGATCGATACCGCCCGCTCCATACGAGGACATGTATCCGCCGGCGTTCGGGCCGTTCCGCGATCCGATAACAAGATGGTATAGGTGAGACACCCTTCTTATTCTGGAAAATAGGAAGTCGACAACGAGAGTTTCCGCCTCTTGGTGACGGAACCGTCGGAACCTTACGGTGGTGGGGACGGGCGGAAACTGTCGCTACCGCCGTCTGACACGTCTGGTGATTTCTAACCTTTTTCGTGCTGAGAGGGGCGGGGAGCCGTCCACTGTTGTTCCCCACCTATTTTGTCGGATAGGGGTAAAACGCCGACCTTCCTGTCGGGAAGTAGTAAAACACCGATGCCCGAAAAACTACCAGTTAGTGTAGTACCGAAACCCGAACCGACCCCGAAACCCGAACCGAGCCAATTGACCGAGTGCACAGTACGAGGTTGAGTGTAATAAACTTAGCCGAACAGGTGTGTCCTGGGGCTGTGGGCGGCAGAGAAGAGGGGGCTGACCGCTTGATCCGTGGTGCAACAGCTCGCCCTGTCGAGAAGACGCCTGCAGCTCGAAACCGATCCGAAACCCGAACCGAACCCGAAACCCGAACCGAAAGTAGTATAGAAAATCACGGGAAGTTGGCGAACGTGAGGAAACCGGCGTCCAAGACGACGCCTGCGGGAGTAAGCCCATTTCCCCGGGGTAGTTACTGTTTAGTGTAGCGAGCATCCAGCGCGTTGCTAGTGCTTCCAGTAACTGCCGAAAATCCAAATCCACCCGCCGTAGGTGAAACCTAGCCGTGGTACCATCCCACCAAATCGGTTGGGTGACAACGGAGTGGAAGAAGAGAAGAGATGTTCCCCGCCGTCGGCTTCCTTGGTGGCCGATCTTAAAAATAGCGACGCAAACGGCGCCGCGCCTGCAATAGCTTTTAACGCTAGCTTCTTGTATCTCTATCGGCTGTCCCCGTTCGCACCGGTCGGACGCGAATATGCCTACTCTCGCCGACGGGGGCGGCGAAATATAACAAAGATGACTGATCCGACAAACACAAATGAAAAAACCGTCGTAGCGCGAGTTCTGCCGTGTCTATTGAGGATTCGCCCCCTTTGCCTGGTTGGAAAAAAACATCCTCCAAGCTCTATTTAGTCGAGCAGTAGCAGGACGCGATCTGTGTGAATTTCTCGCCGAGTGTCAGGCGTTTCATTTTTTTTTTGCAGACTTGTTCTTACGTGCTGCATGCATTCACAGACCTAGCCCCGTTTTTCTGTCTCGGCGGACGAAGTGGAAATAGAGCTTGAAGTGCAGCGGGCACCGCCGGTTGCCATTACCGGTCGCCGTATCAGTAGAGGTCCAGGGGGTTCCATAGCGGTACAATACGACCCGCATTGGCGCGGACACCGCCACCCCGCTTGGGAATCTAAAGCAAACATCCAGCAGTGTGGTAATTTTGTGCACAGGTGTTGGGTGGACAGTATAGGACGCCAAGTGTTGCCGAAAATGAGTGCACTGTGACTATAACAAGCTTGCCGCGCTCCGCGCGCAAGCTCGCTCCCGTAGTTCCCTCTATGTGCCACCAGGTTACGCGTTACTGGCTACATGGGAGCGTGATCCAACCTTCCTGTCGGCGGAGATGAAAGGGGCGCATGTTTACGTGCGGTCGAAGGAGGAGGGCTGGCAGCTGGGGGTGGTGCATCCGGTTTCGAGGGCGCGGGAGGAGGACCTCTCGTGCAACGTCTATTTCGTCGACCTCGAGCGGCGTTTCAACGTGTCACCGTCGCCGGCGAAATATTGTGCGGCGGTCGATGGTCCGCCTGGACAGTGGTGATTTCTGGTGCACATGCGGTCCGGGAGCGTCCGGCGGAACGGGGCCTGAGGGGTGCGCTTTGGTGGTGGTTTCGTCGTGGTGGTAGGGGTGCGCTGTGGCGGAGATTTCGTCGTGGTGGGCGAGGAGCGCTGTGAAGGAGGTTTTGTCGTGGTGGACGGGGAGCGCTGCGGTGGAGAATTTTCATGGCGGAAGAGGCGAGCACGTCGGCGCCTTGCGGGATTTTCGTGGTGGTGGGGGGAGCGAGACGGCACACCTCGAGGGTTTTTCAAGGTGGAAGGGGAGAGCGAGACGGCGCTCCGCACGACTGCCTACGACCTCGTCGGCGCTTCGAGCACCTTCAAACGACCCCGTCGGCGCTTTCCGTAACTTCAAACGACCTCGCCGGCGCCCTTCGATTTATTTTTGTTTGTTGATGTGTGTGTGTTTCGGATGTTTTGTCTTTGGTGTTGCCTTCTGATGCCGATGATGTTTTTTTTCCGGTGTGGCGTGTCGGTTGTTGCTGTTTGGCTCTGGGGTCTTGGTAGCGACGTGCCGTCCTTTTTCAGGAGGATGGGGGGGAGGGGCTCAGGCCATTCAAAATTAGCCTGGGTTGTGAGTCACAAAACAACGTGAAGCGATTGATTTAGTTGTTGGGAATCCTTTTGGGGGTTGGCGTGCACCGTCGGGTAGCGCCGATTTCAACAGTCAAATGTCCGATTGAGGGGGTCACAGGGGTTCATTGCCGCCTTTCTCAGGGGTGAGTACGACGTCTTTCTTACCGGGACAACAATGCTTTCGTTCAGTAACATTCGTAGTGATCAGGTATTGGCAAGTCAGGTAAAGGTTGTTTGGCCGGGATTTTTTGGGGTTGGTGCCGGTTGTCGTTTCCAAAAACACGGCAGCCCGGCACGGGGCAAAATGGATTCTTGACGGCAGACGGTAGGAAGAAGAATTTTCTTGGAATTCGTGTATGGTGGTTTGTGGGGGGGTACTTGGGCCCGAGGGGATGAAATGCTGAGGGATTGTGTCGTGAGTGTAAACGAGTTCCCGCTTAGAATGGAGCGAATTCCATGGGGTTTTGAATATTGCTGTCTTGCCACGGCGGTCGAGACGGATAAATGTTCATGTTTGGAATATTGTTGAAGGTTTAGAGCTGATGCGATCGAGACTGTACCAGCTTCAGTATGGAAATAGTACTGGACGCCGGTATCTCTTGAGGAATTCGTGTTGTTTTTGGATTGCTTTTTGGAGACATCAGAGTATTTCCCAATATGCCAAAAAGCAGTGTGGGGGAATGCGGTACGAAGTAGGCTCGTTTCAGGGGCTGTTTGGACCTTGGCCCCGTTTTATGGTTGTTGTTGTTGTTGTTTCTCACATTAGCTCTATAGTCCACAAAAAATGGGGAGCCCGTGGTCTCAAAACCCGGCACATACGACGCCGCGAGAAAACAAAAAAAACAAGAATAGGGTACAAACCACTCGGTAAAAGAAAACAAAATGTTTGAAAGAAAAGAACAGGTATCGCACCGACCGTTCGAGAAAAGAGCCCTCGGACACCGATCAAAATAAAACAAAACAAAAATAACAGAAAAATAAAAGAGGACGCTTTCCACACCCGCCGAAAGAAAAAGTCAAAAAGTAACCTACCAGCACCAGGCACTGCGCACCAGGGCATGGGAGTAACGGAGCAAACAGGACAAAGAGGCGGCAGATGGGCAGACAGCCAGACGTACAAAAACAAAGGTAATAGCAAAGCGAGATCAAGGTACCCAACACAGCAGAGTAGGCAGGGAGGTGATGAAAAAAATAACCACAGCACAGAGGCCGAAGGCAATAAAAAGGACATACATAGAGGAGTATAGCACACGGCAGGGAGGGAAACAGGGCACAACAACATCAGCCGGGTACATAGTTCGCCACAAGCGCTGCCTCGGCCGCCCTACTCGCTTCTACAGCAGTGCCCGGTCGCCGTTTCTTCCCCCCCACCGCCGCTTCCCCGGCTCTCTTTCTCTTCGGTCCTGAGATGGTCGTACTCTTTGCTTCTGCTTCCCTCGCGCGCTGGCGCTTCGCGGACGCTTCCGCCTCCTGCCTGTGCCATTTCCTCATGAACCATGCCGCCCCACTCTCGACCTTGTTGTACCACACCTCCGAGTCCTTGGCGCTCTCTTTCCATTTCCCCCCTTCCTTTTCGTCTCCCATGTTGAAGGCCACGAGGTCCTCCTAGACGAGACACCCAGTCGCTCTCCTGCCCGCCCCGGTATCCCACGCCCCCCGCCATCGCTCTTAACAGCATGCGCTTGGGGAGGCGGCTGTCCTCCATGCGCATAACGAAGCCCGCGAAACACAGTCTCCGTTTGCGCACGGTGGCCTCGATGGTTTCCTCGCAGCCTGCCTGGATGAGGGCCTGGGCATAGGACAGGGGGCGGTCTGAGCGTTTCCGCTTGCTCCAGCCGATGCACCGTGTGAGGAACTGGCGGTGGGTCCCATTGAGCTTCGTGTAGTGCTCCGCTGTTAGGCTCCACGAGGCGCACCCATACAGGAGAGTCTCCACCACTTCAGCCTGGAGAAGCCGGATCTTGAGCTGGCGGTCGGCCCGTCGCCTGTCGTACATCGAAGCACTGTTCCGGCGGTAGCACTTCCACGCTCGGCAGCTGCGGCTCGTGATCTCCCGGTCGGCCTTCCCGTCCGCGGAGATGGTACGTCCGAGGTACACAAACCGATCTGTCTGCTTGTACGTCTGGCCGGCGGCGCTGACCGTGAACGGGCGTTCCTCGATCCCTTTTGGCAGCATGCACATGATCTCCGTCTTTGGCTCCGACACCATCAGTCCGAACAGGCCGGCCACGCGCACGATGACCGACATCATCTTCTCGAGACTCTCCGGCGAGCGCGAGACGATGGCCGCGTCGTCAGCGTAGAGCATGGCCCACAAGGTGTGTTGGGGTTAAGATGCGACGTAATTAGCTATTCTCCGAGATGACGTGTGTGTTTGCTTGAAGTTGGCTCTGTGTCAACCCCACGAGTGAGAAGAGAGAGCTAACCGGGCAAGGGCAAAGGTCAAGTGGGCATGTGTTGAGTACCAGTTCGGTTGCAGAGATCTAGGTAGAGGTTGAGTTCAGCATGTGTGCGTGGATAGGTTGAACAGCAACAGCAGTGTTGGTGTGCAGCTGTCTTGAGTGCAGCAGCCGCCGAGAGACGAATCAACAACAAGTTCCCTCTGTTCGTGACGTGGATTATGGATTATGTAATCCTCACGAGAGCTACTGCTGTAGTACTCATATGTGGTTTGGAGCTATGGAATTGTGCGACTGCAATCGACCGCCCAGCGGGTACGGATCTTCGGGGTAATCCTTGCGTATCTTTAGCAAGCTGTGATGTGTTCCGAGTTATGGATGCATCTTTACGGCGGTGGATTTATTGCGACTGGTTACTGGTGTGCGGCACGGGAGCTTGCCCCCCGCTGCCACTCTCTTCTGTGCGCTTGTCTACGTGGGACGACCTAATAAAACGACTTAACCATCTATCCAATCCTGTCAACTGGGTCAGCCGTGCTTGTATAGCAGCACTGGGCTTGGGACCAATCAACACCCTCAACAGCTATCTGTCCATTCCCTTTCTCGACGACATCCGCGAAGACAATCAAGCATCCGTAAGAGACAAGAACCTCGAACCTAGCGCAGAACCTTGGTAATGCAGAGCCGCACTGCTCTGCATTTGATTGGGTAATTGGGTCATTCAACAGAACCCGAATACCAAGCATCACAGCAACCCTAAACGACATCTTCTCACCGCTGCGTACGGCATCGACAGCCTTCTGGGCCCGCTCTGGGTCTACTCTCGCCCGTCCCATGCTTAGCAGCAGGACCCCAGCAAGGGAAAATGTGGCCCACGGGGTGTGGGTAGGGGCTGTGCTGTAGCTCGGCAGTGCTTGACCCGATCGGCACGATGAATTTGCTCAAACGAGAGCGAACGGAGAGCTGAAACAGGGCTGCGAGTAGAAAAAAATAATGAAAATATACATGTAAAACAAGGCCTCCAACGGGAACGTGTCCCCCCTGGAAACCCCGCCATGCACACGGCAAGTTCCGCGCAGTGCTCACCGCACATCAACGTCGACAGAGAGCGAGGCAGGAACTCAGGCGTCCAATCTCCGACAAGGTACGCTGAGTTACTCATACATTACGAATCGGGGCGGCTTTTTGGTTCGACAATGCAGCGTAGCAGTTGATATCCGGAGCAGGCTCAGAGTGCACCACCAGAAGCGAGCCCCCGACATCTCGTACCCAGCAGGGGTGGCACAGCAGACTCTTCATATCTCTGGCATGAAGATCGTTAGGGTTGTGTCCCGTACTCAGCTAATGTATGCGTCTATTGCAAAAGGAATGTCATCATTTGGATCAGAGACACGTAAGCATGACGAGGTCAAAACTCAAATTTGTTGCTGGGATCCCGCTCGTGGTGGCACCACACGTGGGACGCGTGTGACGGCGGTGGGTTGGCTTACACGAGGTTGGCATGATGCACACAACCCTTGATTGATTAACCTACTGAGCTCACCTAATAACCTTTTGCAAAAGGAATCACTCCATTTGGTACAGAGTCGAATAAGAATTACGAGGTCAAAATTCAAACTGTTCGTGGAGGGTTACTGTGGTGGTCAGCGCCCACGGGCACGCGTATGTGTGTGAAGCCGCACGGGTGCATCTACATCAGGCTGGCACGACACAACCAAACCTTGATTGATTGTCATGCAGCTCGCATGCTCACCTATTGAAAAAGGGTTAACTTCATTTGCGTAAGAGACACCCAAGCATTACGAGGTCAAACCTAAATAATATGCTATAGATCCTCCGCGTTATTGGTAATCGTCCGCAGGCACGTGCATGACCTGGTGTCACAGTCCTTCGAAAGCAGCCGAAAACAAGGCGTCACACAAGAGATCTGCATGTAGCATCTACCGCTGGCTGGTGTACGTAGTATGCTATTGAATCGAGATCCAACCTTCCATGTTCAATGTTTATGTCTTGTACTTGGACCCACGTCACATGTGATTTCGGGGCGGTACCCGTTGGTGCTGGCCACATGTCCAAAGAAAACTATGAAGTTGGACGCGCACATCTGGAAACTTCCACCGACAGTTCGAGGTGGTACCGCGAAGAAGAGTACCGCTGCGTTACAAACTTGGAGACTGACGTCTAACTTATTGTCGTTTCTTTTGTGTGACGATACCCAACCTCGCTTTCAGGGTGGTTTGTGTGATATCGGGGCGGTACCCGTTCGTGATGGCCCCATGTCAAAAGAAAACTACAGTATTAAGTTGGACGCGTTGATCTGGAAACTGCCACCGACAGTTCGAGGTGGTACCGCGAAGAAGAGTACCGCTGCGTGACAAACTTGGAGACTGACGTCTAACTTATTGTCGTTTCTTTTGTGTGACGATACCCAACCTCGCTTTCAGGGTGGTTTGTGTGATATCGGGGCGGTACCCGTTCGTGATGGCCCCATGTCAAAAGAAAACTACAGTATTAAGTTGGACGCGTTGATCTGGAAACTGCCACCGACAGTTCGAGGTGGTACCGCGAAGAAGAGTACCGCTGCTTAACAAACTTGAAGACTGACCCCTCACTTATGGTCGTTCCTTTTGTGTGACGATACCCATCCTCGCTTTCAGGGTGGTTTCATGCTCGTGTGCAATCACGCAGCTCCATGGCTACCCGGGACAGAAGACTGGGTTTCCTGCACCCCCCAGTGCTGCTCTCCCCGGGACCGGGTGGTCATACACCGCCCGTGTCCCCGCGGCATCCGGCCGCTGGCCAGCAGACGGAGAACCCATCATCTCCAGCTACTACGATAGGCAACGAAGTGGGAACGCTACGTCGCGACAACGCTGGGGGGGCAGTACAGACACCTCGGGCAAGTAGAGCGAAGCGCCCGGCGCAAGATTCTGGCGCGAGGTTGAAAGGTTCGGGGTGTAGATCAGGGGAGAAGCGTCAGGCGAGGGTTAACGCCAGACGTTCTTTGGCTCGACTTAGGCAAGCCCTTTATTTCAGGGCGATTTAGGCAAGGCGAAGGTCGTGGCCTTGGACTGGAGGGTGTTTCCAGAGGCAAAGTGGCAAGAGATTCTAGGTGCCCCGGCAACGGCGTTAGAGAAGATGCGGGACTTCGTGCTGTACTTCGCCAAGAAGGACAAGACCAAGAAGGGAGCGACCAAAAAGAAGATATTCTCGATCCCGGCTTTGAACACAGAACAAGTCGACGAGGAGCAAAGGGAGGTCGTCGAAGCTGAAGGATACAGTTGGCAACGCATACGCGGGGGGGCAAGAGATGAAGGCGATGGTGCTGAATGTGGTTGACGCTGTCGTAAGGAGGGGGTCGTTGACCGAGAGCAAGTGGTGGACATGGCGACGAAGATTGGAGCATCGACGCCGTTTTGCATGGCAAATGCTACCGGAGGTGAGGGAGAGATCAATGCATCTATGATTGTGGGAGAGAGTAGGGGGCGGGTTGAAGGGAGGGACTAGGGTTAGAAAAGAGGGCACTCAGTGAATTTTTACATAGAAACAGATGACCGGCGAATCGCTAACGGCGAATCGTTGCCATGGTAGAAAGTTGACGGCTACAAAGTGGTTTCGTGTGTGGTAGTGCCTAACCTATCGGCGCGGGTTGAGCGTTGTCGCTTTTCTNAAGTGGTGGACATGGCGACGAAGATTGGAGCATCGACGCCGTTTTGCATTGGTAAATGCTACCGGAGGTGAGGGAGAGATCAATGCATCTATGATTGTGGGGGAGAGTAGGGGGCGGGTTGAAGGGAGGGACTAGGGTTAGAAACGAGGGCACTCAATGAATTATAACGTTACAGGGGCTAAGCATGCCAACAAATCCGCAGGCCCGACGAAATGGCTCCAAGATCACAGCTCCGACGCCGTCACCGACGAGCCGTTCTACACCGCGTGTGCCCACGGCGTGGACCTGCCTGTGTCAATACATCAAGGGGTGAGGCAACGGGACTTGGAGGGTGGGGCACATGGGGTGATCAACTACTTCGTAAGCGAGTTGGACTCGAGGTGGCGTATGGAAGCGGATCTGCTCCTGGTGTGCTACGACCGTGCGCAACTTGTCCCGGCAATCAAAGGGCGCGAGCAATCGGGAAGGACGGACAAGATTGGGGGGTGCACTCTCTCTTTCGAACCGACATCGACGGACCCAATCCCCCCGTCGCAGTACCAATCATGGCTTCGTGACAACCAGAAGGCAGCTCGAGATTGTATCGCCGCGCACCTCGCCATGGACATACTAGACGACAAGAGGTGGACCGGAGACTGCACGCCCAAGGGAAATGTGACGTTTTACGGTGTCGGGGGCGAGGCTGGGTTGAAAACACCTCATGCCGCTGACCCCGCGGTCAGCTCCGGGGGGGGCGTACCGGGAGGACCGTCCACATCACCGGAGGTACCGGTGCCGGTCGACGGCGTCGAAAGTAGCACCATGCGCTCTGGTGGGGACGGGACCGAGGAGGGCGTAGTTCCAACGCTTGCGGAAGAGGACCCTCTTCTCCACTACCGAAGGGGCGCGGGCCGTTCGATACAACGAGAACGTGGCCCCAACATCGGTGAGGCCGAGCTGTCTCTCGTCCACTTCATCGTGTGGGCCAAGAAGTATTGGGGGCTGAATTTCGGAAACTGGCTGGTTACTTCGGGGGACACAGACCAATGGATGATCATTTTGCTGGCGATGAGTACGAGGTTCCTCAGGGCAGTGGAGAGGGAGCGGTCGAAGTGACCGTGCAGAAGGTAGTGGGTGGTGCCCCGAAGTATATTTGGGTAATCAGGGTGTTCGCCGCCATCAGTGGTCTCAGGGACGGCAACGAAACTGCGTGGCCCACGACGGACTCCGGTTTCCAGGGTTGGATTCCCGACGACGACGAGAAGGTACGCCTTTTTATCCTTGTCTACCTGCTTGCTGGTTGCGACTTCTTGCCTGCCATATCGGGTCTGCCTTTCGGGACCATGTGGGCTCTTGCTCTGAAGAGCGTGCGGACGGAGGGTGTGTTTCGCACGTCTATCTTCGTGCGTGAGGGTGGTGTATGGTGCGTCAAGATCGACATCGAGTTGTTGGCGACCATGTTCTACTTTTAAGCATGAAGCTGCCTTTGCTCGTGGTGGCCAGGAGCCCGGCTGGATTCTTCGCATGGTCAACGACGATGTCGCGCATTACGTCGAAGTTATCCGGTTGCTTATCCTCAGGCGTGGTTCAAAGAGGGCTACAGCAACGTGCCCTGCGTTCGAGTCTATGCGCCAGCAGAGCGAGCGAGGCCATCAGGTGCTTGGGTACTGGCAAGATGGCTGTTTGGAGGTGGTGCCAGTACGAGACTTCAACGGTAAGGGGTGGGGGATCGACCCGAAAGGGGGGGGGGGAAGCCCGGGGCACATGACAGCGGANAGTGCGGCTGTCGAAAAGCAGGAAGGAAATGCCCGCTGGCATGCGTGTGCAGGGCTACCTGTGAACTGATTCGAGCGTAGGAACAGCAGGCTCGGATCGCTGCTGCTTCATCCAGCTTTCCTGCTGCGTCCACTGTCCCTGCTACACCTTCCGTTCCTGCTGCAACTTCCGTTCCTGCTTGCTGCCCCTACCTTTCCTGCAACATCTGCCATTGTAGCCGGAGCCCTGCGTTCGCTTTTGGCGGCAAGAGCCGCTAGTCAGCAGTCAGCCGCTAGTCAGCTGGCAGCCGCACGGGCAGCCGCTAGTCAGCAGGCAGCGGCTACTCAGCAGGCAGCCGCGCCGGATGGTTCCACAGGGGCAGAGACGAAGGAGGGGGACGGAGAGGAGGGGGGGGACCGGATGTAGGGTGGGGAGATGCGGGGGGAGTCGAAGGTCCATGGGGGGCGACGGGAGCTGACTGGTTCTAAGTGTACGAGAGCCGTATTGAGGTATGCATCTGCTCCCGTTTGTGTCTACCAACTTCTCAACCACAAATTGGGGGTGAGGCACGGATTTTCTTATTTTTGGTCCGATTTCATGTCTTGAGCACGAACTACAGCGCGCATAACGCCGACCTAAATCCCAGGTGATCTTCATCCACATGAACCAACTCCCATGCTTACCGCGTGCGCTTCCCGTTGTTTGCCGTTGCTTCTTTTGCTTGTGTGTGACAGAATGGTGGCAGTGACGACGACAGGTTCCTCTGTGCGAATTAACTTATGGTGGTGGAGGAGGAGACCTCGGAGAATAGGTTGTTGGGAGGGTGTGCTTGAGTGGGGGTGGGTGGTAAACGCACGAGCTGGATAGATAGGTGGCACCACCACCGTCAGCCCTCCTTGCTGCAATCCTTGCCTTTATCTCATTCGTGATAGTTCGGCTCTGGGGTCCTGTGGTGTAGAAACCTGTGTGTGTGTGTGAAGTTATTTTGTGGACTTGTCTTCTTGTGGTCACGAACCTGCCGTGTTGTTTGGAGGCAAGGACTGCTGTCTACCTCGACCATCTTTCCCAGCGGGTGTGACGTTGTGGAGTCAGTTTTGTATGTTTGTCTTGCTTTTTTNATGTGAAGTTACTTTGTGTACTTGTCTTCTTGTGGTCACGAACCTGCCGTGTTGTTTGGAGGCAAGGACTGCTGTCTTCCTCGACCATCTTTCCCAGCGGGTGTGACGTTCTGGAATCAGTTTTGTATGTTTGTCTTGTTTTTTTTGTCACTTTTGGCGCCGCTGACTGTTGTAGTGATTTGACTGTATTTACCATTGGGCCGACGTTAGAAGCAGTCTTGCTTGGTGAAAGTGTAGACTACTGGTCGACCCAATTCAAATCAAAGCGTTGGACAACATTTGGCCTTTCTTCTACGGTAACGTCGTACGTGTACTTCGGCGTCGGTGAAGTTGTCGTTCCACCGTATTATCCTGTTCACTCCTGTTCACACGTACGTTAAGCTCTCCGTGGACAGCCTGGGACGTCGCCCTACCACACACTTTCTACGCGACAATGGTGTGCGCCCNATTATCCTGTTCACTCCTGTTCACACGTACGTTAAGCTCTCCGTGGACAGCCTGGGACGTCGCCCTACCACAAACTTTCTACGCGACAATGGTGTGCGCCCTGCAGGCGATGTTTGCCCACAAACTTCCGGACACGTTTTTTTTTTTTTTTTCAAAAGGTATAGAAGTATCATCGGCCAGGTTTCGCTTTCCCCCGCGGACGCAAAGCACTTCTTCGAGCGTTTTTGTTGTCGCTTATTCAAGCCCTTACTCCAGCCAGAACGGGGCCGACAAAAAAAATGTAATAAATAAGATCGCGAACGAGAGGTGAGAGAGGTCCGGGCTGTCGCATTGGCACCGCCAGTTTTATTTTGGCCCGCATCTTATTCGCGGTGAAACAACACCGCACAGGTGGGTTCCAGTTCAAAATTTTGGTGCACGCCGAGTACGCGTACTCGGCTTGTACTGCATGAAGAAACAAAATTTAAAGTGCTGTACAACCATGAAGGAGGCAGCTACAAGATGCGGGGCATCCCGTTGTCAACAGCAGTCGTGAGACACCTAAGCATGAAGCTTGCGCGTGGATGCCGTTTTTCGACCAAATCCGTCCCTCCCTCCGGCTACCTGGAACACATAACTGCCAGGATTGGCCATCCTACTCTCCATACAGCAATATGCTTTCGTGCCAAGTTTCGTGCCAATTGGCAACGTATTCAGCGCGTTCTCGTGTTCGCCAGGAAAGTGCCGTCGGTTCGGTCGAGGTCCCGCCGCGTCCATGGGGGCCGGTGCGCTTTTGCATATTTTTTTTGGGCCGACTTGATATCTTTCACTGCTCAGTTCTAGCGCTGTAGTCTATGGAATTTCATCCTACTTGGGCCAATCGCTAGCTATTGGAGGCGTCTACAGCCGTAGCGCTTCCTATTGGAGGGTTGGCTCTGCTGTAGGCGTGCTGTAGGCGTGTACAGCATTGTTGTAGAGTGCGAATTGGAGCTTACGTACGTACGATTTTTTTTTCTTTTCACAGCACTGTAAAAACACCACACAAAAAATCAGGGGTCCCCGCGGATCGTGCACAAAGATACCTCTGATAAAAAAAAGTGTTCCTTCATGGGGGGTGTTACCCGGGTTTACCCTCAACAGGGTGCGGCTGTACGTTGGAAGATGAGATTTTGGATTTTGGAGTTGGACGGAGTATACGCCGTGTGCATGCGAATATTTTTGTACAACAACAGCGAATCTTTGAGGTTTATTCATAGACTGCTCGACTCTCGCTCGACCTCTGACGGATAAACTTGAAAAGAGAAGGACAGAGACAGCCAGTATCGTTTTTGCTTCTGGTGACGATGGTGATGCTGTCTCCTTCGTTGCGGTACCGACGGAGGAGGAGTCGTTTTCCGACAGCTGTGGCGGTTGCTGCGGCAGTGGCGGCAGCTTTGGCGGCACCTTTTGTGGTTGCCGGTACGGAGCCGGCTGTGGCCGCCCAGGAAGTCGTCGACCTGCCAGAGCTCACGGGTACCCGTGGGGAGACTCAAGACCACGGACGGGTGGACCCTGAGCCAAGGCAAGGTCCTGGGAAGGGGCCAGGAGGTTACGACGGGTTCAGCGCTCACCCTATGATAGACGTGGGTGAGGAGTGTGCACCTAGCCCTCTCTGGGTCAAAAACGTCAATACGTCGAGCTATGAGCTGGGGTGCGAAGAGATCGAGGTATGCGTACGTTCTCTGCTATTTTTTCTGGTACATATCATGAATCTGTACCGTAAGTACCTCCAAACGCCCCGTGTGATATCAAGATAACTTCCACTTCACACCAATCTAAATGCAAGTCAATAGAGCCAGAACGGCAGGCGCTCAAATTAGGCCAGTATTTTCGCATTGAAACGGCACCATGAAGTGTCGTACGTGCTGGCACGTTCAGGTTTGCTTGTTGGGTGGTGAGCGATCTTATGTAGTCCACAGTGAACGTATGCCTACCATATGTTCTCTCCGCAAATAAATCTTCGGAAATTGAAAATTGACAGACACCGAGTGCTTGTGCTCGCCGCCACTGAACCCAATCTCCTGAACTGCTGACGACCCGCCGTTCAGGGATTTACGGCCCGCGGCGGTGAGTACAAGCAGTACAAGACACTGGGCGTCGGTCAAATTTGCGGAGATTTACGGAGACGTTACATTATTATTTTTGGCCATTACCACGATCCTCGATCAACCGCCCAAAAAGCACACCCAACATGCCAGCACACGCGACGCCTCTTTGTGGTGTCCCCTACTGATAGCAGAGCTTATGTGCAGTTAAAAAAGCGGGAACGTTGCGGGAGGGTTGATTCTTTTTGAAGTCGTCAGCACCCCTCCCTTTTTATGCATTGGATTACAGTACTGCTCTCGTGAGTACCGAACTTCGACGTTAGCACCGTTGACGAGGGAAAGGGACGGCTGGAAACTTCTCGCGATAAAAATATAACTCAGCACGCACCGCAGGAGAAAGGTGGGGCATGAAAAGAAATAAAAAGAAGAAAAAAGCCCTGGTGTTTACCCCCTCCGGTGTGACCCTGGATGGTTGTAGTTGCACGAAAAAATACTGAAAAGTGTAGTACTCTACATGCGCTGAAAAGTGCAGGACACATCTCACCACGAAAAAGGGGGGACTGTCGCCATAATAAATAGGACGAAAACACATACACCGCACTAAGACTGACGTCTTTTCATTGGTCAGCCGGTTAGCGCGGTCGATGCTAATAATAAAAGACACACACACATGGGGGCCAGCGTAAAGGGTTCTGAGTTCCTCCCCATAAATGCCTGCGCTAGGATGCGTGCGTGTTGCTGTTGGAGAAACCACACGACAACAATCATCCAAATCATCTACGCCACATCCTCGAGTCCAATGTCGATCAACTCAATAGCCCGGAGTAGCATCACGCCTCTAGGCGCGTGAACGACGAACCCCAATGCTCGACGGAAACCGCGGAACATGTCGGAGCTCGCAAGTAGCTGATGAGACGAGAGTGTTACCTTCTATCCCCTGCCACCGTTCCGCTACCACTTTTCGACTTTCGTTCTCTCTCGCACGCAAAACTACACGAACCAAATCGACGTTTCGGGGTGCGTTAACACCCCCTCGAGCGCACGTCCAGCTCCCCTGCCTTCTCCTCCTCCCCCTCCCTTTTCATCCCCCCCCCGGTGTTTGCCATCGGGGTTGGGTTTCGTCGCTTGGCAAAGACGTTGTAAAACAAGCCAATTCACTTCGTGAACTCGGCAACCAGGTTACCGTTTTTTT